GATTTTTTGAACGGATCAATTAAAAAAATTAAAACTTGAGATAATGAAATTGATGCTTGGATACCATATTTTAGAGCAAAATTGACAGATGAAAATATCAAGATGGCCGCTGGGGGCCATCTTGGAAAAAAAATTGTATGAAAACGGGGGACTTGTGATCATTTTGAAGCTCCTGACGACTACTTTATAACCCTAGAATATAAAGTTAATTCCTTTACCTACTACAAAATGGTGGTACACTTAATAATTACTTGAACACAAACTCACTAACATTCATATCTCTACAAATAATTGTAATTCCCTGCCGTATCCTCAGCAACAGCGATAAAAACTGGCTTTGTTATTTTTGTTGACAGTGACAAGAATATCAGTACGAAAACAAACATCATTGTACAGTTAAAATCATCTTATTTGGTTTTCGGTTTTAGTGCTTGATACTTTTTGAACTATTTTAAAAATGGTCAATTCTCGTCCATTGGAAGAAAAAAATCGAAGCGATTTTTATTTATGGTGCGACGCGTCACGAGACCGAAACGATTTTTAATGATCGTTTCCCGAATCGTAATATCTGTATAAAATATTTAAGGGAACTTGTATCTAAGTTTACAGCTACTGGTAGTGTAAACAACAAAAAGTCCCCAGGTCATCCGACCATCCCGGAAGAAAAGCAAGTTCAAATAATTGGTCAGATCATAGTAAATCCCCAACAGTCTACTTCCTCCATCGCGAATGTATGTGAGGTTTGTCCTTCTGCTGTATGGAGACTTTTGAAAAAGAATAAGTATCACCCATACAAAATTCAAATGTTACATCAGCTAACTGAAGATGACACTGATCGAAGAACAAAATTCTGCGAGACTATGACGGAAACGATTGCACGGCATCCCCATGAATGTACATTTTTTCTCAACGGTAATGTGCATAGACAAAATTGTCGTTATTGGATGGTGCTCCACCACACTACTACAGACAAGTTAGGAATTATTACATATAACAATTTCCCCGGTCGTTGGATTGGCCGTCGAGATCCTGTGGAATGGCCAGCTCGCTCGCCAGATTTGACACGTTTAGACTTTTTTCTGGGGCGATTTGAAGCAAAAGGTGTACGAAACTGAACCTGCTTCAATACTGGGATATACGGCTCAGAGTAACAAATATTTGAAGAAATATCGATGTCACTACGTTTGAAAATGTGCGACGCGAAATTACGGACCGACTCAACGTATTTATTCGAATGATCAAGTTAAATGCCAATGTATTCAGGTAATTAGAAAATGTACCACCATTTTGTAGTAGGTAAAGGTATTGACTTTATATTCTAGAACTGTGAAGTACTCGTCAGGAGCTTCAAAATGATGTGTCACAAGTCCCCCGTGTTCACATAATTTTTTTTTCCAAGATGGTGCCCAGCGGCCATCCTGACATTTTCATCTGTCAATTTTACTCTAAAATATGGCATTCACGCATCAATTTCATTACCTCAAGTTTTAATTTTTTTAATTGATCCGTTCAAAAAATCAAAGGGGAGGGGGACATTAAAGAAAAGCACTATATACATATGTAGAGAAATATTGAGTACTGAAAGTCGAGAATGGAGCAGGCCAGGGGAGTATACAGTAGATTTTCAAGCATATCGTGGCATAAATTTTAGTGGTATCCCAATTTCATCATATCTTCCAAATGAAGCATCGTATTTTACACTACCGGGGTGGGTTATTTCTACAATTCGTCGATTCAAGCAATATTGCATTGGAATCCCAATTACTGTATATTGTCCCATATAGCCAACACGTACATTGCAATATCACACCACTGAAAAAAAACGTATCATTGCATTCTGCATTTTAATTCATAAAAATATCGATACACGTGCACCAGATAATCTTGTTACAAATACAAACTCGTTCGAATGGATTTTTGTCAGAGAAATTCCATTCATCCAACACCGCAGGGATTTTGTTAATTCATAGTGATTCCAGTCAGGTTTGGAAAAAGTTCAACTTCGTTACGGAAGATTTTTTTTTTGTAAATCTGATCCGAAAACCCATGTTTCTGTTGAACGCTCTGTGGACAGAGCCTTACTTTCGAGCTATTCTTCTATGTGACGAGTAACATTTTCATAAACAAAGCTCTCCACAGCAACATGATATGAGAAGATTCTACCCTACAACTCTCATTCTAAAATGTATAAAAAATGGTAACTACGAATATATATAGTAAAGAGATTAAATAGATCAGGTCAGTCAAATAAGCACATACAAGCTGTATTCCGGCTTCCGCAAGTAACGGCAACGTTGCAATCACAATTAAGAGCAAACATACGGGGATATCCATATATGAAACATGTCTAATAGATACGTTAGCGGTTAGAAGCGCTTATATATTAACGCAAACTTTTTACCACTACACAAAATTTCTGAAACGTCAAAAGGTTTGAGCGATTCCAACTCCCTCAACTTATTTTTCCCATAGCTCCGCCGTCACTGGGTATGCAAAAATTAAAAAGCTTTTTTACCCTTCGCATAGTGGTAACTGTTAAAATCCAAGTAGTATTTTTTAAGTTATAGGGCAGTCCAAAATTAGCGGAGAGACGGACAGACCGAGAAACAGACAGACCGACAGAAATGAGTCACATGGTTTGATGTAGGTTTCATGTCACATTCTAAAAGCATTAACGGTGGTTTGCACCGGGTTAAAGTGATTGTTAGCGCTAACTTCGAGTTAGTCTTTGTACCGTCATAGTGATCTCGGAGTTAAGGCCTAAATCTGGGATAAATTTACCTCTCATTTGAACTAGGTGTTAAGGCGGATAGCACCATGAAAATGTAGAGTAATACCTTCGCATCGCAATGCGTACTGACAATAAAAAAGAGGTTCTTCAGTTACTGTGCGAAGATGTGCAACTCCACCAATTCAATGCTCCCAATCGCCTAGTGTACTTGATTTGCTTTTAAAAATATGCAGCATTCTATGTGCAAGGATTCAAACAAAAAGTGATGAAACATCTATGTTGATGTTTGTTATTTCATCTCTTTCCAGAAGTTGGTTGAATATCCAACTCATCTGGTAAAGGTGGCACATCCTCAGCTCCATCAGCAATAACTATATTGTGTAGCACTGCCGTAGCCACAATTATGTTCAAAAAGGTGCAAACCACGAGAAGCAATTTCGGGGACTGCTAGCATCATAGTTGTGTTTTCAGCTCCTGATGAAGGCTCCATAGACAATTGTCGAAAGCTAGAGATTACCGTCAAAAGAGTTAACTAAAGCCTAAAAAATTTTGCCAATTTCCCAATTAACAATTAAATGTATTTTTTGCCCAGCTGGTCGTTGACAATGGCAATGACTACTGTTCATATGTATATATATACCTATCCAGCCAAATCAAACACAAACGATAATGGAAAATAGCAAATAAACTGAATACAAAACACAAGTACTAAAATGTTAAAGTTTACGTCAATCTTTCAAATCCCAGCACAAATCAACAAACTTTTAGCACAGAACTAGCGTTTGTGGCAATATTGCCAATAAATGTATTAATTCTGAGAAATATCTCTATATTCTAACCTTGCCAACATGACCAGGAGTCGGGGTTTATAAACCCAGAGTTAAACCTTGACGGTGCAAAGCTACTCGAATTTAACCTGGGGTTACCGCTAACTCCAAGATAAAGTAACGTGCACCTTTAACCCAAAGCGGTGCAAACCACCGTAAGTCGTCTAATTTTTGCGAATAAAACAATTCCTCGTCAATTGGCATGGGAAGTAAAAACGAAAGAGCATTCGATGTATTTCAAATAAAGATTCAACTTTTATTCTTGAAGTATTCGGCGTTTCTTTGTTTGTCGAATCGACCATCCCCCATAGAGGTTGTTTGGCTAAATTTAAAGATGTTCCATGTGTCCTACGCTACAGTTCGATGTACAATTATAAAAATACCTTTAACAGATGTTTTTACAGTCATCACTGAGACAGATCACATTTGGCGCTCTCTCACTTGAAAAAAGTTTCGTGTATTCTTATTATAAAAATGCTCATATTTCAAAGGATCACTGCCTTTAAACCGGGTTTCTGGCTATGAAATTCAGTTAATTTTTGTATTTAAGTATTTTAGAGCATATATATTTTAAACCTTCATCAATATATATTTTTATTTTTATTTTAGTAATTGATTGTTTTTTAAATACCCAAAGCTCACAATTTTGGCATTCTTATCAAAAATTTATTATAATAGAACAACTGAAATACAAAACATACACTGAGGTCACATTCAATACAAAAGTTGAAACAGATCTATACACAATTACAATGATACTTTGGGCAGTGTAGGAAAACCTTAATTTTCATATAAGTTCAGTGTATCAGTGTCTTTCATTATAGATTTGAGGTAAAAAACGTAGCTCGTATACAAATACTTAAGTGAAATATTAATTTGAATAAAAATGCGAAAATTGAGCCTTTGTTGTTTTGAAAAACAATAAATTACTAAAACGAAAAGGAAAACTTTGATGAAAGTTCAAAATACAACTATCCTAAAAATTTTAAAGGCAAAAAATTCATGGTTACAATCAACTTGAAATTTGAGTTGCTTTCAGCGCCAAAAACCCCGCTTATATGCCGTGACTTTTTCCATTCTCGTCTCTTGTTATTACAAGCAAGGGTGTATTCAAATCGTTTGGTGCACTGAATTTGAATATGACCGTCAACAAATTCTGAAGTATCATGTACGGGGAAATTGGTTTGTGAATCTAACTACACCATAAATGTTTCTATATTTCCTCCAAGTCCATTGGCTTGGACTGGTGCATTTTTCGGCCAGAATGGTATGAAATCAAACAGAGCACCATTCTGTGCGTACAGCTGTATCATAAAAATAACACAAAGTTTGCTTGTGCTATACGAGTGCTGATGCGGTCATTATTACCAACTGACTGATTTGCTATTTATAAAATTTTAATGTAGTGCACGGAAGTGAACTGATTACCTTTTTCTCTACAGGATGATTCGAAAAACAATGCCAATGTTTATAGAGCTGCGAGTACATTCAGGAAAACTTCTTATAAACATGGATCTTGATACTGGTCAAGAGAACTGATATTTCTTAAATTTTTCATGCCTTACTTATTTCTCCGCCACCACTGGTGAAAACATATAAAAACTATTTTATCGTAGGAGTAGGTAGTGTTGTTCAAAATGCCAACAAAATCCGAGCATATATCGAAACTATAGGAGGCCTCGTAGCTTTTTATTTATAAATTTAAATATTATTTATAATTTTTTATTAAACTAACACTGGTGAACAAAATTAAGATAATTTTTTGTGATCTGGACAAAACAAGGTGGTTATTATATAAAACGTACCCAAAAAGCCGGAAATAGCATTCGATTTTTTCAATCACCTGCGGTTTTCTAGCAATAAGGCATTTTATTATTTTTTATTATACACGTAAAATACCAGGATATGTGTGTAAGAGTACTAATAAACACTCGAATAAACATTAATCTCTGAATGTTGTTGTCGATGTTTTACGTTGCTCCTGAAGTATCTCTTAAAAATGTGCAGCAAATTGACACTCCATTTGCCTTGATACCGTTTTTCCATAGCAGAAATGTCTTGGTGGAACTGTTTACTATGTTCATCACTTACCGCACATAAATTTTCCGAAAAAAAATCGAATCCAAAAAGTGAATTTTTAGAGACATGTTACATCCCATTCCTTTATAAGCATTAATTAGTTCACTCACAATATCTTTATAATTGTCCGCCTTCACATTGCCTAAAAAAATTGCAGTAACTGATTTGAAAGCATTCCAAGCTCGTAATTCAGTTTCATTTTAAGCACTGTCAAATACATCATCCTTCATGATTTTCAGTATTTCTGGACCCACAAATATACCCTCTTTAATTTTAAGTCTCGGAAATGTTTGTTTTAAATGAAGAAACTCTCTTCCATTTCGATCCATAGCTTTCTCAAAATTTTTCATCAGTCCCAACTTAATATGCAGAGGTGGAAGCAACACGTTTATGGGATCAACTAGTGGTTCATGAGCTATGTTTTTGAGGCTCGGAGTTAATACCTGACGTAGTGGTCACTCCTGTTCGTAGTGACGATCTCGCGCACTACTGTCCCATTCACAAAGAAAACAACAATATTTGGTATATCCCAGTTGCATTCCAGAAAGAAGGGCTATTACCTTTAAATCTGCACATACGGCACACATATTCATTATAACAGAACTCGCATATTTTCATATGATTCCTTCATATGAACTGCGTGCGCTATAGGTATAGATGGATATTTAGTACCGTTGTGTACCAATACTGCTTTTAAACTAAGCTTAGGAGAATCAATAAACAGGCGCCAATAATTTGGATCATGTTTCTGTCTAACGCGTCAAACAAATTGTTGACATCGGAGCAATATATCAGCTCCCTTTCTTGACGGAAATAGTGTGTGAGGTCTTGTTGCCGTTCTCGGTAAAAAGTAATGTTAACATCACCGTGAAGAAGATTCCATCCTTTTAATATTGACGCTAAAAGTTCTGACTCGGATTTTGACAGATTTAATTATCGAACTAAGTCATTAAGTTCGCCCTGTGTGATCAAATGCGGTGCTGTTGAACATCCTGGCAGGTCAAACGAAGGATTGGAAATTTTTGCGCTTTCTGTACCATCACTTTTAAAATCGGTGGATTCGACTTTTTCATCCAAGGATCAAGATTCTGGTGGAACTGGGACAGAAAGTTCATCACTATGCTTAACGGGCCGCAAAGCTGATAGTAAATTAAAATACTTAACAGTATGTTTCGATTTTGTGAGGCAAAAATAGCAATCAGTAGTATGGTCTCTCGGTTCTCTCCAAACCATTGGTACCGCAAAGGGCATTTTATGATTGTCACCTTTTAACCAACCTGTTAACAACGTTACACAAGTCATGCACCATATATGAGGAGCCCATAGTTTATCTTGGTCGCCAACTTTAATTCCAAAATAAAGTTCGCATGCTTTCAACTCAAGGGGAGTAAAAGTACGTTTTTGGGATTTAAAAGTTAGCTCTTCCCACACATAACAAAAACTGTTTGCACTATTTACAAAATTTCCAGGCATTGTCCTTAAAGCTAGTCTCGATCACAATAAACTAAAAACAACACACCGTCTTCACAAAAAATGACAGTACTCAGAACATCACAGTACTCTTCAACACAGAAAACGTAACTGACTCACCTGCTATTAGTCTACTAATAAACGCAATATGCTCTCTAAACATAGAGCTCGCATATAATAAACAGGAATAGACAGGTCTTAACATTATATGAATATGTGCGTCATCCCATAAACGCCGAGAAATGCAGCAATATGAGATGTTACGTATTGTAATTCATAAAAGTAGATGCTACCGAATATCTGTGGGTGATAGAAAAATTCTGTTTTTAGATATGATTTAAGGATCTCAAAATACATAAGATACGCCCAAAAATTATCATGTCACAAATCCTGTGTTTATCAGTGTTATTTTTAGGTCATCCTAGAATCCGTGTTATCTATGCCATACTCTTATGTATCTGGTATACTTTAATACAGGGTGGTCTCAAAGTTGAGACTTTCCTTTACAGAACATATAAGTCGGGCAAGTTTTTCTAGTAATCCGTCTCCTCCTTCACCAAAAGGTATGATGAAGTTTTGTGAAAAACCGAAATTGGCTCATTTCTACAGCAATAACGCAGTCATCGATTTGATGCTGGTTTACTATGAACGTCATCAAGATCCTATTGATACTTCGCGAATCTATTTACCACGTCGACGTTGTCCTCGATATTTCCATCAGAGCTGCGTAGGTTTGTTTGTTTGATACAAAAGCCGACTGGGTGGACCTAGACAGCCCCAAATGTTGCAAATTTAAGAAGAAGTAAACAAACTCGTATTTGTGAATCGATAAGCGATAGCTTCAGATAGTATTAACAGGGCAGTACTTAAAATTCCGTATCAATCTGGAAGACAATATTTTAAGTGCCTTTGATAAGAAAATGGCCTAGCGTTAATATCGTTTGACATCATAAATCCTTACTTGCTATGACTCCTTTTCATGTTGACTGTTGCTTTCCTCAAAGAACTCCCTGCACTTTTGTCAACCAAGAAATGTCTCCGGTGACAATAATTCACTCAGGCGTCCCTCAAGGCTCTGTATTGAGGCTGCGGTTGGATAATGTCAATAATACTACCCAAATTTTACAAAACGATGTCAGTAAGTAAATTACGTCCTCTTCAGTTGATAATCTACTTCTTAATCTATTATTTTGCACCCGAAGGAAAAAAGACAATGTAACAAAGCTCTTAAACATTCAGATAAATCACCAAATCTTGCAATTTTCTGATTGTGCAAAAATGTTGTTCGTGATACAAAGTTAAGGTTTATTAAGCATGTTAAAAGTCTTTCACAGAAAACCTATATATGGCTACGTAACCATATGGCGAACAGGTATTTACTAAAGTTTAAGTTGCATGAAAAACTATGTGAAGCATTGGTCATATCTACAGGGTGTAAACGTTATGGTAGTCATTATTGGAATGGGTAATAGGGGGGTCAAAACAAGTCAAACAGTTCATCTGACCCATGGTCCAAAAGTCAATAGATTTTTGTCTAACTGGCTTTATAGTTTAAAACTTTATATCGACCACAATCACCACAATCTTACGAATTTTTATAATTCAATCTAAAACGTTTTTAAATTGGGCAATTAACAAATAAATGACACTAAGTTTTTCTAAGTTGAGCGAAAATTTCTAGTCAGTAAGTAAGTTTCATTAAACTAAATATTTAAAACACACATGACAACAGCCTTTCGTCACTCTTATCGAACCGGCAATCGATCGCAAACGGTAACAGTGGTTGGTTATCGGGCATCGGGCCTGTTGTTTTGTTTTTGTTCGCGTACGTCGTCGTCTTTATGTACAATGTTCTCGAATCAAGAGTTCGCCGGCATGTTGTTAGCGCTTACACCCAGACAGAAGGACATTTGTGCAAGTGTACCAAAGACTTCGAGATACAGGAAGTGCTCAGCCCACTAATATTCGCACTCGTGAAAGACAGGTTACTCTACAGCAGGAGGAACAAATTTTGTATATCGTATCAAAATTATGTTCCCTATTTACAAGAGGATTTTTTAATACGTTCAATAAACTTTTACACACCAGGTGAAGCGCTGAGACAGTTAGTGGTCCGTTTTTTTTATTGTTTACATTTTACGAGTACATTATCAAATAATGAAATAATACCTAAGAGCCAAAAACTCCATCTTTATTTACACTGCGTTCCGTCGTAATTTGCGTCTGGCATTGCGGCGTTGTCAGATTTTATTTTACTTTAAAGTCGCTTTTCTCTAAAAAATGCCGTTTTGACCCCCATGTTATATGAAACTTTTTGCTTCTTTTAGCCCCTCTAGCACCAATTTAAATAATGACTATCATAACGTTTACACCCTGTATACTAAATTTTGTAATATATACTACATATATACTACATGATTAGACAATTTTACCAAAAATGTTAATCAAATTATACGAAGCAATAAATTGTATACGTTTCATCTTTGGCCTAAGTAAATTTGATCATGTATCAGCGAAATATCCCGTTCTAAACTGGTAAAAATTGATGACTTGGTCATATATCACTATTCAGTTTTTGTTCACAAATTACTACTCGTGTCAAAGCTCTCTTACTTGAGAGAAAACATTTCATTCAATAATGATGTTTACTGTAGAACTCTGAGAGAAAAGAATATTAGAATATTCAACACCTACATACAATTTTTAAGCGCAGTCTTTTCTACAATGTTGCTATTATACTCAGCGACACTAGAAGTGTTTCGCCCAGAAAAAATAATTTCTTCAGCTTGATTTTTTGGCAGTGAGGTAGTCTTACATCAAGAATGAAAGAATATCATTCTCGCAAAATTTTATTCACAAGTAATAAGAAAAAAATTAATATGTTGGGCGACCCCGCAGTTGATTACACTCCTGTATACATCTAGGCATCGAAAAAATCAGATGATCGATGTCTGGTTGTGTTATTATTATTATAAATGTATATTGAGTATTTTTCTTCAGTTTCTTTACTCCGTTTTCAGCGCTGTTTTACCGCAAATGGCGGATGCGCTAGCTACTGGACAGAGGCCGAGGATCGCTCAAGCTTCTGATGAAAAGAGGCTAGGCTTTTTCTCCGCTCGTTGCAGTATTAGGGCTGAGATATTCGGAGCTATGAAGTTCCTGACCTTCATTAGCAGATCAGCATGGTTGATAGATATCGCGTAGGGTGTTGGTACATTCGTGGTCTGCAAAAATTCACGAATACCTCTCTTCAATCGTGACTTCGAGACAGCTGCAGGGAAAAAGTTTTGTTCTTTGTTTAGGGGTCAGAACTGTTTCCTCTACATATCCTTCGCACTCTGTC